TGCATTACCAAATTTATTCCAAACTTTGTGCAAGGGTTCTTTTAGCTTAAAAACGTACCCATGATTACATCATGATATTACCCTTTTAACATTAAAGAAAGTGAATTCCCTTTTTTTGCTCAGGATGTGAATCACATAATCATTTTGAGATAAGAATTCATAGATTATACAAATGCAGTGCAGTTAAATGAACACCTTATGTTGTGGAGCAACATTCCAAAAAATTGAGGCACTTAAACAAAAGGTTTCTATGCCGTCCAAGAGGCATGGAGCCAGTGTAAGACTTCCGCCAAATGATAGCTTATATGATCTAATTGATGAACTGTTGGCGCCACAAGAGGAGATACACTTACTAGAAGAGCTTTTAATTTGGAAATCAATGGTTATTTAAGATCGATCGCATTGACCAAAAATAGCTTTAATTTCAAAAAATATTTTTATTTTATTTTTAAATAATGCCGAGTAATTTCTTGGTGTGTTCATTGAATAATTATAAAACATAATAACGTTTGTGATAAATAAATATCAGTTTATTTCCTGTACCAAAGTTGTGTTGTCTAATTTTAAGAAAAATCAAAGGGAAATGAAAGATTAATCAATATTTTTATTACAACATAAATCAAAATAATTATTTAAAAAACAATATCAATAACGAACTCTAGATCTTCTCATCTTTTTTTGTAATTGAAGTACACCGTATAGTAAAGCTTCTGCCGTTGGTGGACATCCTGGAACATATATATCTACAGGAACTATCCTATCACATCTGTTAATCATAAAAAATTCATCTATTAATAATTAGTCATAATAATATCATTATTAATTCAAATATTCATTATATTTAAATTACCCTCTAACAACACTATAAGAATAATGATAATATCCTCCTCCATTTGCACATGAACCCATAGAAATTACCCAACGAGGCTCAGGCATCTTTTTTTTTAAAAAAAAAAAAAAGTAAATTAATTAGATTGATTAATAAATCAATCATTTTAATTTGCTTAATTACTTGATCATAAACTTTTCTTAGCGCAGGTGCCATTTTGTTTGTTAAAGTACCAGCTACAATCATAACATCAGATTGTCTCGGTGATGCACGAAAAACAATACCAATACGATCTTGATCGTACCTTGATGCTGCCATATGCATCATTTCAACTGATTATTGTAATCTTTTCATTAGTTAAATTGTAAAAAAAAAAAAAAAAAAACTTTAGACATTAATGATTAATTCAATAATTTACCAGCGCAACATGCCAAACCAAACGTCTAAAATAAAGAATTATAATATTTATTAGCAAGTCGTTTGATCAAGAATAATAAAAATAACAAGTGTTCTTTATTTTACCATTGGCCAGATTGATCCCTGACGAGCCCAATTAATCACTTTATCAACAGTTGATAAAACATATTCTAAAACAGACAAATAAAATAATCAATTAATTACATTATGCAACATTATTACACATTGATTGTGTTATTATGATTATGATTATAATTATAATTACCTGCAGTATTTGCAGGTTGAGCAAGCGCAAAATCTCCTGCATAACTTTTCGTTATCCTAGCCTTTGATGTTGTAATCTCTTTATTTTCAGTTGTTAAACTTCTTAATTGAATATTAGAAATTTCTATTTAGATAATAAAAATAAATTTTTGAATAATTACTTGCTAAAAATATTTGAATTCCTGCATGGGCAAATAATTTTAATTAACCTTTCTTTTTCCCAGAAATTCCTGTGATCAATCTTGGTGAAATTATTGAGTAATGATTTTCTACAAAACAATCATTATTATTATTATTATTATTATTATTATTATTATTATTATTATTATTATTATTATTGGTGAATTCACTTCTGATCAATGATCAAAAGCTCATCCCAAACATTGATCTAAATACCTTTAATAAATAATTTTAAACATTTTAAGCCAGATCTTGAAGTAAACATTTTAAAAAAGATTGGAAAAAAGTGTAACAAATACCACACTTTGATGACTTCAATTGATTAATAATAACACAAGAATAAGTTTGATTTGATCGACATTCGCAATTATCACGCTTAAAAAAAAAATTTGAAATCTCCCTCTATAACGGATATTATTAATTAAATTTTATATAATAATAATAAATATTTTAAAGAGCCGGCTCGGATCTGTTCTGTACCTAAAATCATCTTTAATAATTGGTAATTTTACATGCTATATAAAAGAAAATCCAATAAGTCAATACGCCTTTTTAAATAGTGTAAGTTATCCCGTGAACAAATTGTGGTGCTGTGGGATAATTCGCACGCACATTGAACATACATGATATGATAATGGGGACAAAGGCATTCACATCCAAGGAAAGAATTAAATGACAACTAAAAAGAATTATTTTGATTCAACTAAGGGAAATATATATATATATATATTTCCACTATTATTATTAATATTATCATTCACTATTGCTAATATTAGTATCTTTTTTATTCATATTTTCCATCTTTGATTCTTTTATTGTTGATAAAAGTTTTTTTGCGGTGGAGGCGTTAACTCCCTTCCATATAATTCGCGGATTTCAATTTTCATTTCACCAAATGAAAAATTTGCCTTTTATCAAACAATTGTTTAAAATCCTCCCACAACTTTTAAATTTCCCTTGAGTATTTTTTCTGGGTTCCACTAGATTAATTATTTTACCTATATTGTTTTTGATATTATAGAGCTGATTTTTGTAGATTTGATGATACAGTAAAAAGCCAACACCAAAAATTCACTTGAATTTTTGTTAGTATTTGTGGTTTATTTTTATATTAATATTGATTTATAATATTGATATTGATATTGATATTGGGTTTGTTTTACACTAACAAGAATTATGGCCGTACTGATATTGCTAATAAAGGATTCTTTATCTATTTATGTGATTTGCATTACTTGGATTTAAAATTTTTTTTTGGCCAATTCATCATCCACTGAATTTGATGTTCGCTTTGTTGCAAATATGACCCATATAATAAAATTTCCAAATTAGTTTAATTTTTTCATGTGCTTTAAAGAAGAGGGAATTAAAAAGCCCAATTTACATATTTATCAGCCAGTTACATATACACATATATAATATATAAAATAAAAATTTAAAATAAATAATTTTTATCATTGTTGCTGTGCTTGATATTTGAGACGTGATTGCTCAAATAAATCTTCTTGCTGTTTTAATAATTCTTCTTCGGTCATGCCAGAATTTTCTAATCTGGAGCTTTTCTTGTCTCGATCCTATTAATCCATATTGATTATTGATTATTATTAACAAGTTAATGCCATTATTATGTAACCCTTCCTAATTTGTCTAGATAAAATATTTAATTCATCACCTTTTGAAGCCTTTTATGTTCTTTAAATACTTCTTGTACTTCAGTAAGATAATTTTCAAACCCCAATTTCTAAAAAAAAAAGTTTGGAAGAATTTAAAATTTTTTTATTTAAAAAAAATCTTTATATTAATATTATCAAATACATACTTGAAGCGCAGAAAAAACATGTTCAGCTGCAATCGTTTTCTTTGCTTCATTTTCACAAATACTATTTGCTTCTGAAGCAATCAATTGAATAAATTCTAAAAATTTTGTTTGGAAAAACCAATTTTATAAATTATATCAGATATATATATATATGTGCATTATATATATATACATACAATTATTATCACTTACCAACACAACAATCTATTAACAAATCACGGGTGTCTTTAGCACAAGCAATATCAGGTGGAAGCATTTCTGTAATAATCTTTGTAACAGTCGCTTTTATATTATATTATAAAATACAAACAATAAAAATTTTTTACTTTTTTTAATTGATAAATAAATAGATTAAAATAAAATTTTTTTTAAATGAGTAGAATACCTTTTGGAAGTGACAACTCATCGTCTACACCTCCGTTTCTAGACGTTTCTTTATCACTCATTCTGAGATAATAAAATTTTTTGTAGTGGTAGTATTATATATTGTGTATAGATTATAAGATCGTATTTTTAACATTATCAGTAAAGGTTAAATTTTGTCTTTATATAAAGAAATTATTATCAAAAATAATTATTAGAAATGGTATTAGTATTACGTAATATGATTGACCACATGACACTGCTCAAAATATTATTGGCCAGTCATGAAAATCCCTAACATATGGGGGAGGACCCCTGAAACTATTCACCAATACTAATCCCAAAAGTTAAGCTGTAATAGCATTAACCAAAAACTACCTTGAAATATCACTATCAGAAAACTGTAAAAAGTTTATTACTTCAAAATATTGTTTATAAATAAAAATAAAATAAAAAAAGAAAAAATAGCTAATTTAATCTCCATTATAAATTTATTTGTTATAGTTATATTTATTTTTAATTACTAGAATCTAATGTTTATTAATCAATCAAATTGCTAGTAATAATTAATGGATAGAAATTTCTAATTAATTAATAATGGAATTTTGTTAACATTTTAGAGAAGAGAGTTAAATTTAATGAACTGTCATTACTTATATAACATTTAAAGTTTTTTGATCTATCAATCTCTTCATCTAATATTCTACTTGTATGATATGCATCTGGATGTGATTTGTGTATTTGTTGCAAATAATTACCACTACCACTGCTGCTGCTGTTACAATCATTATTAAACCCATTTTCATGTTTTTTTGATTTTAGAAAATTTGAATAATTTTTTTATTAAACTATCATTGCTACTACTTTTTTCAAACTTTTATTATCATGAATTTCCTTATGTTTATTATAAGAAAAGTCAAGAAGCTCTCCACTAGTTGGTCTTTTTGATGGATCCACATCCCAACATTTCTGCATTATTTGTGCATAATCATCAGGCATTCCTGGTAATATTGGTGGTCGTAAACCTTCTGCACATATGGGTTCCATGCTAACAAAAAGATAGTTCGGGAAAAAATGGGGTTTTTGAGAAATCAGCTGATTTTGTTTTTCACTA